GCAGCATTTGACCTCAGTTGACACTTGCAAGACTAGCATCTAGCCTAGTTTAGTCCCTGCTCTCAATTAAGCATTTTAAATTTAAATATAGCAGCCTGAGGTGTTTTGCATGAAGTTGTTCCAGCCAGAAAGGAGGTCACAACACCAGGTAGAGTTTACAGATTTTTATTCACTCCAATCAATATCAGGCAAACATTACCAGTGGGGTAAAAACACATTGGCTTTTTTAATGCTGTTCATGCAAGTGTAACCCATTCATCAGCAATCTTCCACCTATTAAGACAGACATAAGAACTGTTATAAGGTACCAAACCAGCACAACACACTTGATGGGAACATCTCAGACCTTAGATTTCATCTCTGTTCAGTGAGAGAGTTCAAGCTAAGGTTATCATCACTTGTTCCAACAAATACATTATTACAGCAGTTACACTCACCTTCTCAATTCTTCGTATGCTAGTTTGAGTTGCCTCTTCACCTAAATCAAGAAAACACAGTTAGCATATGCAGCAGAACAACTGCTAAAAGCTCCACAACAGCTTTGTAACCTCAGACAGAAATGGAACGGAAAGGGTAATATCACAGTAACTCATTTGGCAGAATCAATTTCATCAGTGGCTACAAATATTCTCAGAAGTTTTTAATACAATTCATCTGTTGTGTGGACTTACCCAGTACAGCTGCAAACACAGCAACAGTCCTTTCCTGAGGAAGAAAGTAGTACTTTAACAGACAGCAGCACTATATGCAAAGTTTATTTATCTATTCATTTCTATTCACCTAACTTTTACCTAAAAGGAAACTGAGTTTTAGCTGGCATCTTACAAGTTTAACTTACACAAAGCCTACAAATCCTAACAACTTCAAATACAGAATTACTAACATTGAAAGAATCAGGGAAAGTAAAAAGCTACTACTTTGCTTTGTGATACTGTCTGTCCCAAAAATGTTGTATTTCATGATTTTAAATACCTAAAATACAAGTCCAATATGTTTTCAAAATGGCTTCTATTTTTGAAAGTGTTTGGGGTGTTCCAGTTTGTTTGAGAACAAGTTTGTACAGCAATCATCTAGAACTTGAGCTAAATTTGTGTAGAGCCAATATAAAGATTAGTATTAACAACTCTTGACAAACGACAGCCACAGCACAATGTTTTTATTTTAATTCCAGAGTGCAGTGTTACAGTAATGCCCACAGAACAGATACAAGAGAAGACAAATCAGGTATCTTATGGGACTAATTTTGGGCATCGTTGTTTAAGCACAAAGACAATATTCCAGGAATTCTTAAACCCCATGTATTCCACACTTACCTCAGGCACATCCCTCTTGTTTCTCAAACTCCATGCAAGCTTCACCCTGTAAGAAAGGGAAATTGTACTAACACACTTTTGGCAGTGGTTTGAGAGTGTGAATGTGGGTACTGTTTCAGCACAAGAGTTCTCTTCAGCCTCTTTCAGAGAGATTCCCATTGCTTAGAATTCATCACAAACAGTACATGCCAAGAGTAGCTTAATGGTGTCATCTCTGTAACAAACCCCTTAAAGGGGGATCTGACCTTACTCCCAACCACATCTTCATTCACATCACCTAAGAGCTCTGATCTAACCATTGAGATAAACGATTTACCACATAAGCATTCAAGATCAGTGCCATTCCCTGAAAGAGCCCACTAAATTTAAACAGCAAGAAGCTCAATAGCAGGCAATTGTACTGCATTTGCTCAGCACAGAATATGTGGCAACCTGGTAGCACAGAGCTTTTTCTTATCAAATAGGAATTCAAGTAGTCTACAGCAGTTACACATTTAAAATGGCCACCACTATTTCTTTTTAGTCACAGAAAGCAGTTAATTTTGAGATATGCAGCACACCTTGGGGAAGTGAATCCTGCAGGGTGCTGGCAAATCCAGGCTTTTTACCTGGAAAAGGTAATAAAAGCAAGAACCCTGCTTAATGCTGCAGCTAGCCCTGTAATGGCCAGGATAGAGTAATTTCCTTATTCCCTGTATCACAGAATTCTGACCAGTCACAATCATGTGTTAGCAACTTACTTTTGCTGGCAGCACTACCAGGTCCCTCACTTCCCAGCTCCATCACACCTGCATCAAAGCAAACCATTAGGACAGCACCGAAACAAGCACAGAAGGACAAAACCCAAGTCAGGTGCCTGCAGTCAGATAGAGCTAATTACAGACCTCCATGATTGAAGTCAAGGCAGTCACATCTCATCACACAGGCAGCTCACACTGGCAGCCCCTGTGCAGCCTGCCATAGGGCTAGGCTGCTATGGGCAAGAGGGCAAATACTTAAAATAGTAAATTCAAGAGGAGCTCACAGTGATGAGTTTAGTGCACACCAGACTGTCAAGACTGGGCTCCAGCCAGCAGCTCCCCTTTAAAATATCCTCTTGTTTTGGCTGAGATGCAAGACACAGCCAATGGGCCCCATGCCCCCCAGCTGACAAGCACTTAAAAACTTATGGGCCTATGCTGAAATCCTAATACTTAGGAAGTAAAAACAAGTACTTACCTCACAGTGAGAAACATCTGGAAGCCTGGAAAGAAAAATTTGCGATTAGGCAGGGTCCAGCAGGAAGTTATAGCATTAAGAACAGTTTGAGTCAAGTACTGTATCAGGGTTTGGTCGATTCCTCCTCATGGGGATCAGAGACCTGATTCAACATCATTTACAGTAGGCTGCAACACTCCTATCATCCCCTTCTGAAGGCAGGCTGTAAAGCCATTTCCCAGCACTGTTCAACACAGATGTTAATTCCTCACCTCCAGAGCATGCTGAAATTGCAGCAAGGAGCAAGCCTTGCAATTGCAGAGTTCAGTGATGTGAGGTTTGTGTAACCAAGTCGTGCATAGTAGGCATAACCATTTTGGACACTAAATTCACAGTAATGTGGCATTCACCATTTAGTTTCAACACGACAATTCTAGAGATTAATAACACCACAATTATTTGATGCTCTTACTATGAAACACAGGAAGCTGAAGAACACTTACAGTACTAACTTTTGCTTCACACTATTTTAAGAAAATAAATTGGCAAGCATCTCCAAAAGCAAACACTCAAATGCAGCACAGACCAAAGTAGCACCCATCTAAGAAATTAAGCCTTATTAATCACCTTGAATTAGGAAGGCCTTGTCTTCACCCACATCAGTAAGAGGTGAAATGGTTTTTCACACAAGAGGTATGGGGCTCTGTTGAGGGCAACCTGCAAATCAACAAGAAACTTTTAGAACCTGGAGCACTAACACCTGATTAACCTTATTCTGCTGTATTTTGTACTTGACTTCGCAACCACATCCTACTCTCTTATCTTTCTATTCATCTTACCAAGTTTTT